TGTTTAAGGTATATGGTACAAAATTAGCAACGAATATACTAATAAAGAATAATGTCAATACTTAAATTATTGTAGTTTTAATAAACTCTTTTACCTGAATGTGGCATATTTTGTTCAAATTTCATTTTTCAATTTATCTTGTAGATATGAACATACTCAGTGGCTATGTAGAAAAAAAATATAAAGAAAAAACATTCTGTTTCACTAATTTAAGAAACATCCTATTAAGTAATTTTGTATTTCTTAAATCATTAGTTGATCAATAGACAATATTAACATTTATTGTCCATGACAACATATTTACTAGTCCCAGGATATAAAAATAGATCTTAATAAATACTATTGCTTGTAGTATATAAATCTGCAGTTTGTTAGCTTCAACGCGCTTATCTCCTAGACTACTGTTTGGAATTCAATAATTATTTTTGTGTAGACTTAGTAGTCAGTTTATCGAAGCAGTCTTTATGGGCTATAAAAATCGACCATTATTTGAGAAGCACAGCACTGGAATACCAAGTTTGATTATGTTGACTGTCACAAAACAGTAACGCAACGCAAAACAATAGTAAAATTGGTTATATACTGACCTATACTTACCTACTGCCTCCAGTGTCGCACGGGTGCAATACTGATACTTCTACTACCGGGTAAGTTCGGTTTACTTTGACACTGCGAGGTAACTTTGATCCAAACCCTTTAACCAACAATTACTGAGAACCAAACATATATTCGTTTTTCATTGGTTCGAAAATTTGGATCAAAGTTACCTCCCAGGGTCAAATAACCCGAACTTACGGTATTTAATGGCTATGTATCTCTACATATAAACCTTCTTCTTCAATCACTCTTATCAATTTAAAAGTCGCATCAAAATCCTTTGCGTAGTTTTAAAGATTTAGGCATACATATAGGGACAGAGAAAGTGACTTTGTTATATAGGTACTATATAGTGATAGTATATATTATGTACCAATTACTATGTTATTATATTTTGAGTGGAATTGTTTAGCTAAATAATGCATTAATTACTTCTGTTTGTGGGCACAATATTATGTTAGAATAATAAATATTACTATTCTATCCATTTGTGTTTGTTTTACTAGAATTTCATTGGTTAATTTTGTTCCCAAGCTGTTTGTTCAATCTTTATGTGGGTTTTTGTCTAAAAATAAGCGTTTTTGGGAAATAAGTACCATTATGCTTAGGTTGTAAGTAGTTCCACTTTTTATGAAATGAGATTCAATGTTTGTATGCACTCCCCGCTCTTTAGTAGGTAGACTGAAATGAGCGTGTTGTGAAAAATGTAATTATTTATTATTTTTTTCTTTTTTATGAGCGTATAATGTACCTACACCTTTGGCTTGTATTCTAAAAGTATCAGGCGACTCGTTGAAGTGAAAGTTTTTTTAGGAAGTCAAAGTCATATTATGAACAGTAGATAATTATAGTAATTTTTTCATGTATTACAGTAGATACTTGCTATATAAGTTCATCACGTGGACCAGCAGCACAAACGACAGGCTCTTTGAAAAAAAAACTGAATGTTAAAAAAATGTTGTCGCGCTGACTTAGGTACTTGTTTGCGTTATACATATTAAAAGCAACATCATGCTTGTAGTGGACACGAGACAGATAGAGTTCAGGTCAGCTCGCCCCGCGGATGATGGGCGCCGCTGCTGCTTTGTCGCGCTTGCTTCCCAACCAGGGGGGGCCCATCTACTCCTCCCGGAGGCTCTACATGGGGGTCGTGCGGTCGATGGCGTTATACGCTGCGCCCGCGGGCGGACGCCCTGACGGCTCGTAACATCGTCGCGCTGCCGTCAAGATAATAAGGGGAAACCGTACCATCTCTTTTGAGGCAGCGACCCTCCTAGCCGGATCCCCGCCCTGGGACCTCGACGCAAAGCTCCTCGCGTCACTCTATTGGTGGCGTGCGGAGGCAGTCGAACGGGGCGAGCGCCTGGTGACTCGACAGGTTGAGGCACGCAGGGCAGAACTCCGCCAGGCCTTAGTGGTTGAGTGACAGACGCGTTTAGCGCAACCCACGGCGGGGCACGTCGCTATAGCGGCGGTAAGGCCAATTCTAGAGGAGTGGCTCAATAGGAGCAACGGCGCCTAAGAACCTAAGTACCTTTTTTTTACAATCAAGGCTTGTAACGGCACATCCGCACATCCATAAATACCTGTCTCCTTTGAGCGTTGAATTATATGGCGGCCACGGTGCTATCGTTCATAAATTACCAAGTAAATGTGACACCTAATTACCTAAGTTTCAATATTCTAAATGATTGTACCTACAACTTTTATATTCCTTATTGATACTGACGGACTCATTGCATACTTATAGGTACATTACATCATACGAAACTTAGAACTTCATTCCTGATCTATCTATCTATCCGTATACCTACCTAATATATAAAAATTTAACACAAAGTGTGTTAAACGTTGTTGCACATTACTCGGGAACGGCTGGACCAATTTTGCCAATTCTTTTTTATGTTTTTATAATAACTATCGTGAGACATACGTGTCCGTTACCCAGGCCAGATGTTGTCGACAATGGCCATTTGAATCTTATAGATAATTAGTTGTGCGGCTTCTGTAATTGTTGCGCACATTTTTAAATTTGTTGCGCTTATAGTTTTTTAATTATTTCACAAAAACATTTCCTGCTGGCGTAACGTTACCACAGCCAGACCTTTTTCTTTCCAATGGGAATATTTAAATAAATATTAGCTATAAAATTAGTTGTCTAGATAAAGTAAATGTTGTGCCTTATTTTGTATTTGTTCTTTCTTCGGTTGCGAAGTTATTCGAGATTTTGCTGCGGTAACGTTTTTGGTTTTGCTAGAACTTTGAAATGGTTAAGCGGATTCTTATCATATTTTATACACGACTTCCGAGGACTTAGTTTAAATTTGTTGTGCAATAACAAAACCAAAATAATGCATATTTTAAAGGTTTTTTCATTAAATAGAAAAACACTTCAATTGGCCCCAGCACTCCCAATAAGAAGTCGAAAGGCTTACTTCAAACGTAATTTTAAAGCTTGTAACTGCCTTCAAATGTATGTGAAGTTTCATTAGTATCCCGTAAGTATTTAACAAGTTATGATGATATTCAGTTCTTCACGAGCACGGTCTTAATGCACGCGGTTTTATTTGGCCACTGGATTGGATATATGAACTGAATATTATGTCAATGATTAGTTGTTTAGATCAGTTGTATATCAGTAAAATTTCAGCTCAATACATTGGATAATTAATGAGATAATACTATTAAAGTCATTAGGAAGTGAATGACCGTGGTAAGCCGACCAAGTTTAGGTGGTTACGAAAAAGCGAAAACGCAGAACATTATGGTACCTTCTAAAATATGTAGGATAGTGTTATAAATTTAGTACAGACATGTACAAAAGTTTAAAAAAAAGCTACATGATTATTCAAGATTTTTTATTGAAAGGTAAAATAATCATTTCAATTGAACTTTTACTCCCTTACTTATAAAAACTTGTGTTGCTTAGCAACCGATTAAACATCACCCGTCCTTGTCATTTCTATTTCAAAATGCAGTTCAATAATCATCTAAAAGGTTACAAAAGTAACCTTCTGGCAAGACTGAGTGCGTTATGCAAACAATGTATTACCCCTTCACCCCACTCCTCCTGCGTCCTACCGAACGGCATGCTCTAGCGGTGATTTTTGATAATTTTGTGGAACTGGAAGATAATGTATTCTTTTATATTATTATTATATAGGTAATTACCAGTGTACGCGTCTGTACCAAAATTGTAAGGTGTATTATACTAAACATTTCAAAAGATAGTACAATGTTCTGCGTTTTCGCTTTTTCGTAACCACCTAAACTTGGTCGGCTTACCACGGTCATTCACTTCCTAATGACTTTAATAGTATTATCTCATTAATTATCCAATGTATTGAGCTGAAATTTTACTGATATACAACTGATCTAAACAACTAATCATTGACATAATATTCAGTTCATATATCCAATCCAGTGGCCAAATAACACCGCGTGCATTAAGACCGTGCTCGTGAAGAACTGAATATCATCATAACTTGTTAAATACTTACGGGATACTAATGAAACTTCACATACATTTGAAGGCAGTTACAAGCTTTAAAATTACGTTTGAAGTAAGTCTTTAGACTACTTATTGGGAGTGCTGGGGCAATTGAAGTGTTTTTCTATTTAATGAAAAAACCTTTAAAATATGCATTATTTTGGTTTTGTTATTGCACAACAAATTTAAACTAAGTCCTCGGAAGTCGTGTACAAAATATGATAAGAATCCGCTTAACCATTTCAAAGATCTAGCAAAACCAAAAACGTTACCGCAGCAAAATCTCGAATAACTTCGCACCCGAAGAAAGAACAAATACAAAATAAGGCACAACATTTACTTTATCTAGACAACTAATTTTATAGCTAATATTTATTTAAATATTCCCATTGGAAAGAAAAAGGTCTGGCTGTGGTAACGTTACGCCAGCAGGAAATGTTTTTGTGAAATAATTAAAAAACTATAAGCGCAACAAATTTAAAAATGTGCGCAACAATTACAGAAGCCGCACAACTAATTATCTATAAGATTCAAATGGCCATTGTCGACAACATCTGGCCTGGGTAACGGACACGAGACATACTAAATTAACTAAAAATCGCGGGTTACTCACGTGTATATATTGAGAAAAGCTCTACTAGTTTCGAACCACAGAGGGGTTCTTCCTCATGAGCAGCGTGCGCGGACGCGCGACGTCGCCGCGAGCTTTTCTCAATATTATACACGTGAGTAACCCGCGATTTTTAGTTAATTCTTTTTTACTTGTGTTATTTATGACCAGGTTAAAGTTTTTATGAAAGAAACTTTTAGAAAAGTAGAGAGGCAAATTCGGAAATTTATAGTTTTTACCTACGCAGCTGGACAACCGTGCGAAGCAAGTGGGGGGAGGGATTGTTTTCAATAAAAAACCAAATTATAACAAAAAACTTTAATCACAGTTCACATCTTCAGGATCCTCTTCATCAAAGTCCCTGATCTTCACATCAGCGTCCTCACCATACTGAATAATGTTGTCTATGGTCAGCATAATGTTATCAATGCTTTCCTCATCCTTTATGTTCAGCGGGTAGAAACGGACCAGGCTGAAGTTTTCCACAACTTCTCCGATAGCTTCTGTTAACTTCGCATACTTCTCGTGCCATTTTGATTTTGCGTTTCTCATGTCTGCGAGCAACACGTGTGGGTCTGGGTCTAGGTAGCTGTGGAAGTTAAGAAAAATATTTAGTATACATTTCTGGTAAATAAATTGATTTATTGCCAAACTGTCTGTTTTACTGTAACTTCTGATTTAAAGCTGCAGGTGTTAATTTGCAGAAGTGTATATAAAATAGAAATGGAAAAACACCGATTTTTTTATTATTTACTCGTGTGTTTGTGTGTGTGTTTTATTGCATCCCTGCTGTGTATACATTTATTTGCGGGCGTCATAACGTATGCAAAAATCATCTACTTCATTTTCTATTATTGTCAAAGTGATATTATTTTTAAACGTTAAACTTTCAATCATGTTAATTCGAGACACAATAGAAAGACAAAAGGTGGGAGAACTCCGGTGCTCGCTTTTAGTTCGATGATTTTAAAATAACAACTTACTCATCAATCTGTCTCCGCGCACTCTTGCTAAGCAGATCCATTTTTGTGAGAATATTTACATGTGGTAGTTCCAAATTTACCATCACACTGAGTGCTGCCATTGTGCCTGGAATAATAAAAGAATATATTATGTTAAAGCTATATAATCGTGAAAAGAATATTGAGCAGGTTGCATTATCACTTAACACCAAGTGTGATAATGATAAATGCATGTCCATTAAAAAAAAAAGCTGTGGTGTTCTGTAACAACTTCTTGACAAATTTCTCAATATTTTTTTTACTTTATTGTTACTTTTTTATTTGAGATCTGGTCCAACCTTGGCATTTGGAGATGCTTGGACTACCATACCACCTTCCATGCATTTTCCCCAACTGCCAATCAAAGACAGTTCATTTCCTTAATTAATTGCCTTCACACAAACATTACCTGACAAAAACTTAGCACCATCAATCATAAACTGTGAGTCCACCATGAACACTACACATATCCTGAAGTTCCACTTCTGCAGCAGGTCAACCAGCTTTCTCATGACAGGCAGGTGGGTGTACAGTTCTATCTGGCCAGGGCAGTCAAACAGCAGGTAATCATCATCTACATCACCTAGCTGTTCTTCTAACCAGTCACAGTTCTCAAGGAGGGTTCTGAAACATTGTGGTGATTTGATTAGCTTAGGAATATCAAGAAATTTTCATGAATTTTGGTTACAATGTGAAGTTGATCTGGAAGAAAAGGTTGACAAAAGAATAAGTGTCTGTTTCTAAATAGCCACATGTAACAGATTTTGAATATGGAAACTAATATGAATGAATACTATCCCACATTAGTTTATGTGGAAGTCCATGAAGGAATAAAGCTATGAACATTTTGAAGTTTGCATTAATATGAATTATTAATCACAATATCGTGGGGATGCTTTATATGCCAGCATTTGTGATGAAAGTACATTATTGAAACAAAAAATACATGTAGCAAAGATTTATCTCATAATAGGCTGATTGTAAAAGTATAAGTTTTAATTATCATAAGTACTTTAAAGAGTTCCTAGTAAGAAGTTTGGCTATAAAACTTACTCTATACAAAAAACTAGTCCTCCATTGGGTCCAAACTGTAGTTCCTCATCTTCCATAGCATCATCCAGGTGTATGAGTTCCCGTATGTCTACTAGTGGTTCATAGTCAAAGTGTTCTGCTGCTGGGTCCAGATTCACTACCTCTACTATGCGTTTGGAATCACTGGCATGCTTTACTATAGTGGAGCAGTATGTTGACTGAAATATTAAGATAAAATTATTATAAAGCTCAAGAAATTGTGGAATGTTAATGCAGGATAATACATTGACTGATGAAGGTAAGAGGGAGCAACACATAATGCTATGATCAAAAGTCGATGAAACAGATAAAACTGCAACATTAGCCAACACTAAATCCTGCGGCACGAAACTAAATTCAAGCCATTTAGGTATTTATTTATTATTTATGCACATCACACATACAGTAAATAGAAAACAAATACAGAGACAGAGGTACATAGGAATAATGTGATGTAGGTAGGTTACAAGTTTGAACGTGAAAACCAAGTTAGTTTTATCGTATCTGTCTAAGAAACAGATCGCTAAACAATAAAGATATAATGAATTTTTACCTTTCCACTGCCAGCAGGGCCAACAACTAATTGTGCATATCGCATTTTGAATTAAATTCAAAAGTAATTCGCACGCCTATAGGTTATGTCACATTAATACGCAATATAGTAAAAAATCACTGGTCTTAAGTGCCCTTAGTTACTATCTGCAACAATTGCAAGCGAGCCACTACTGAGAATTATCATTTTGATGTGGTTATGAACGTTAAATAAAGTATTATTTAATTTAATAACAACGTTGCTCGCATTGTTTTGCTTTTATAGATTTGATTTGACAGATGATTGACGACTGTCAGTTCTTTTTTTTTTTTTTTTTGGAGTTTATGGCCTGGATACGAGTCCTTTAAGCCAAGTCTTTTAATTTACTCGGTTTTATGTTATTATATACTTTCCAGAGTATTTTTAATGAAATTGTATAACGGCACTAAACACTTTGGATCACGTAGTAGATCTTCTAGGCGGCGGGAGGAAACATTATCTACAATTTCACTTAGTTCACTGGCTAAAATCAACCTTTGCATGTTGTAGTCACTGCATACCAACACTATGTGACTAATGTCACATAAGACGTTACAATTCAAGCACTTGTCATTTGCATCAAGTTTGAGTCTTGCAAGGTGTGCGGGTGTTCTATGATGTCCGAATCGAAGCCTGCATATAGTAGATAAAAAATCTCGTCTGGCGTACTTGTATTGCTTTTGGTCATACCACGGTCTCACAGGTAAGTCCGATTGAATAGTACCGTACCACTTTCCTTTTTCTTCTTGGTCTTTCTTCCAGAAGTCTTTCCATACATGTTTTATGTTTTCTCTAATCATAGCAGTCCGTAAAAGGTACCTTTACAATATTAGATACATTTATACAATTTATCCCATTAAATGCAGCTCTATCAGCGATTTCATTGCCAGTAATACCTTTATGTGAAGGGATCCACATAAAAGAAACTGAAATGCCTTTATTTTTTAAATTAAATAAAACTTCTCGAATCTTAATTAAAAGATAATTTGTTTTGAAATGAAAATTAATATTCTCTAATGCTTTAATCACACTTAAAGAGTCAGTCAAAATTAAATAGGTTGTGTAATGCATTGATGAAATTTTTTTCAGGGCCTCAAGAACTGCATAAGCCTCTGCAGTGAATATGCTACATAAAAGACTAAGCTCAAAGCTTTGACAAAACTGAATTTGAGGATCATAAACAGCACTGCGAACATGAGACAAACCCTTACTGCCATCAGTATAAAGTCTATAATAGTGACTGTTAAGGTGAATAAAGTTTAATAACTCCTCATTATTACTAACTACTGTATTTATAATTGAGACTTCAAATAACAATATCTTGTACTTTGTGGAGTAACATGCCCAATGAGAACTTTTAATTATATTCGAAAATTTAAAATGTGCTTCCAGGATAACCTGAGATAAATCTGGGATAATATGACAGTGAAGGCCAGCCCCAGTCACACCAGACACATTGTGAACTACTGGATACTGAGGTAAAATTCTTCTTAAAACTTCATTATTATTAGCTGCAAATAGCTTTACAGAAAATCTTTGAGCAAGTAGATATCTTCTTATACTAAGGGGCATCACCCCTGTCTCAACTTCCATGGCACGGATGGGAGTTGAGCACATGGCGCCAGATATTATCCTCAGACCTTTGTTTTGTGCTATATCTAATCTATGTACATAATTACAATCAATATAGGCTAGACAACTGTAATCAAAATGGCTTCTTACAATGGCTTTGTACAAAATAGCAAGAGTAACTGGGTCAGCTCCCCAGGAGACTCCTGCCAAACACCTCATGATATTTAAGCCTTTCAAAGAATTTTGTAAAATGTACTTGATATGACCTTGGAATGTCAGTTTATTATCAATTTGCACACCTAAAAATTTATGACTGCTTACTATAGGAATTGCTTTATCATTGTATAACACAGACAAGCTAGGTAAATCTTTTGTTATAAACATTACATTACTTTTGTTGGGATTGATATTTAATCGAAGTTTATTGTTGTAGTAGTGATATAATTGACTAAGAGCATTATTAATATTAGCAATTGCCAAATCAATATCATTATGTACACTATATACAACAAGGTCATCAGCAAACTGCAAAATATTTACATTATCCATATTTACATATTTACAAATTTGAGATGTATATATATTATATAACAATGGGGACAAAGTTGCCCCTTGCATTGTTCCTTTTGACACTTGCCTAGGACCATGTAAAATATTATTGTGTTTTACATATAGTATTCTTTCATTTAAGAAAGAGTATATCCATTTACAAAATTTTCCTGGAATACCTAAATCAGACAGAATTTTAATCAAAATACCAGGTTGCACATTATCAAATGCCCCCTGTACATCTAAAAAGGTACATACTGCACTAGCATTATTATTTCTTGCTCTTTTCAGATCTGAGATAAGAGAAACAAAGCTGTCTGCACAACTTCTGCCTCTTCTGAAGCCAAATTGAATAGTTGGGATAATGCACTTCGATTCCACATACCAATCAAGACGAATCTTAACCATGTTCTCAAAAATTTTTCCAAGACAGGATGATAATGAAATAGGTTGATATGAGTTAGCATCATTGACTGGTTTATCTGGTTTAAGCACTGGTATCACACATTGTGTTTTCCAAGACAGTGGAATTACTTGATGGAGCCAAAGTGCATTAAGAATGTTCAGAAACAATTTTTGCACCAATATATGTAAATGTTTTATCAAAATATAAGGAAAGTTGTCCAATCCAGGCGCAGAATTTTTTCGGGAATGAAGACTCATATTAAACTCATGCCATGTAAAAGGTTCAATTAAAAACTGTGTCTCATTATTATCATTATTAATATTAAAATACATATCAACATCAACTATACCATCAGATCCATTATCTGATAGTTTATCTAAGAATGGCAAAACAAATTCATCAGAAAGTGATTTATTATGAGTTTTCCTACCCTTAAACATTTTAATATAGTTCCAAATCTTACTGATAGGAGTATTTCTATTAAAAGACTCACAGAGATTGCGCCAACCATTTTTCTTTTCTTCAGATATGGTTCTCTTTTTCAAGGCGTCTAACTTCTTATATATAATGTAGTTATCCATTGTAGGATTACTTCTATAGTATTTTAAAGCTTGATAAGACTTAATGACGCTTTGTTCGCACTTCTCATTCCACCATGGCGCTGGTGGCCTACTTCTATATGAACTAGTCTTGGTATACTTTGGGATGCAAAGTAACGGGTAATCCAGGTGAATGAAGTCAGTCGGAAGGTTCATTTTTCTATTCATTCGCTGAGGCGCCTCCAGACCCTGCTGCCTGTGAAAACAAAGATTTACCTTGTCCAAGCGCTGATCATGCCTCTGATGGACTATGCAGATGCTTGCTATCTGGATGCCACTGAGGAGCTATTAAATAAACTTGAGCGATTGCAAAATCTATGTATCCGCTTTGTATTCGGTCTTAAGAAGTATGATCATGTCTCCGAATTCCGCAATAGGCTCAAGTGGCTCCCTATCCGTCTTCGCAGGAACACTCGTATTTTATGTCTCCTCTACAATTCCCTCTACAATCCAACTTATCCCGCTTACCTCCGTGACCGTTTCTCCTTGGTGCGTCCTCCTGAAGTCCTAACTCGTTCTCATCTCAAGTCCAACCTTAAAATCGTGCCTCATAATACCGACTTCTTCTCCTATTCTTTCACCGTTTATGCTGTGAGACTGTGGAATTCTCTCCCGCCTAACATTCGTGACGCTAAATCGCTCGCTCTCTTCAAAAAACTAGTTAAGGACCATTACCTTTCTTCATGAGTACTTACAGTTACGTTTATTTATATGTGTATCTTATTTATTGTTATTATTATATATTAAGTATATATATTTATATGATATATATATACATATATTACCTATTTGTTATCGTTAGTTCTTTTTTTTTCGCTTTTGTTACACACTGTGTCTTATATTTTAATTACATTTCCTGTCTCAGGTCTACTGGAAGAAATTCCAACAGGAATAAGTAGCACCTTTGTACTCTTATTTTTTTTTATGTATTTTCCTCTGTGCTGTTTGTGTGTACATAAATTATTAAATAAATAAATAAATAAATAACTTCAAAGAGCTAAGTCTATTACAGAAGGTATTATATGACTTCAAAGGGTTCTCAGTATCCACATTGATATCATTAAATAAAGTTTCAGATATTTCACAGTACTTCACCCAATCTGCTTTTTTGTATAAAAATTTCTCTATTGGAGGATTTGTTTGATATTTATTAACAGCTAAAGTAAGATTTGTAATTGTAGGGAAATGATAACTACCCATACTGTCATCATGTACAGTCCAATCACACAGTGGTGCTAAAACTGCACTTGTAAAAGTGATATCAATAGCTGATGGGTTACAATTAGGCCGATTATTTGTTGTGAAACTGCCATCATTCAACAAGCATAGATCCAACTCATCAATTATATCATATAGTTGCTGCCCTCTGCCCTTGGTGCTTACACAGCCAAAAGCAATATGATGAGCATTAAAGTCTCCTGAAATGAACACTGGCTTGGGCAGTTCTTTTATGATATTTCTCAATTTGTTTAATCTAGTATGGCCACTGTGTGGTGGACAATACACAGTCAAAATAGATAAGTCACCTAACTCTGTAGAAAGAGAAATTGCAACAGTTTGTACATCTTCATAAAATGTGGTTTGTAAAGTTGTATACTTTAAATTATGTTTTATGAGGATAGCTATTCCCCCATGTTCATTAGCTGCATTTTTGAAATGTATATTATATTCAGGAATGTGGAAAGGTTTGTTATCTTTAATCCACGTTTCATTTAAAAGGCAAATATCAATATTTTTATCATTAAGAAACTTTAAGAGTAAGGGCTTTTTACTGTATACACTTTGTATATTAAACTGAGCAATGCATAGCTGAGATTGTATATTGGAGTCTATATCCATTATGTAAGATTCTCCAGTAGAATATCTTTAATAGTTGTTGTATTGATTGGAGGATCATCCTTGCCCTTATTGGCGATTACAATGAGTGTGCGAACAATGGCCTTAAGTAAGTCATTATTTGCCAGGAGTTGAGCCTTGACATCAGCAACAGAAATTATTTTAGGTTCAGTATTTACAGGTACATTATTTATAGGTGCAGAATTTACATTTTTATTTACAACAGAATTTTTATTTACATTGACCTGAGGTCTTGGTTTGCGCAATGGTGGGAAATCTCCCTGAGTCACATTAAGTTTAGTTTCAGCCTTACTAGCGTAAGTAATACGTTCCTTTTTTTCCATTATCTTTTTTAACTTGATTTCGCATGCCTTTGAAATTGCTAAATGTGGTCCACCGCAATTAGCACAGCAGATTGCTGAGGGGTTATCACACTCTCTATATGAGTGGTCCCCAGCACAAATGCTACATTTTTGTTTGCCATTACATATTTTGGCTGAGTGGTTAAATTTGAAGCAACGGTAACATTGTTGTAGAGGAGGGATATAGTCAAAAATGCGGTAAGAGAATAAGTCATATTGTACATTTTGTGGTAAAGAACTGGACAGAAAGGTAATGCTCACTGTATGAAGTGGTACCCGTTCTTGTCCAACCTTTTTGGTGAATCGTCGGACTGCAATTATTTCATACTCCGACTCTAGCTTTGAGTAAAGCTCCTTGTTAGATAAGTTTGTGGGTACGTATCGGATAATTCCTGTTCTTTCTATGTCTGCCGCTGGTATGAACGCCTTAAAGTTGTACTTCTCCAGAAATGAAGAGTTACTTATAAAATTATTAGCAGTATTATACTGCTTGAACACCACCGCAATCTTGTTAGCATTGATTCTACGAATCGCTACTACACCTTTTACCTCGTTTACAAATATATGATTTAAAAAGGTTGGACTTTTATTGCCAATTTTTTTCACCCTGCACGTAAACTTTGAACTCCAAATTTGAAGAATTTTCTGGATAAAGTCTTTTGTATCCGGGTTTTAGATAGGGTAAAAAATCACTTTCCTTACCCCCGCCGCCATCGTCCAAGTCTTTAAGTTTATGTTTTTTTGGGGCCGGGGGTTTTGGGCCCCCGCCCTCGCCAACATCCATGTTTAATACACTATTATGTACACTTTACTATTTACATGCAATTTACAATGAAATAAAATATTAGATTCAAAAAAAATCACAAATGAAAAAACTTTTCATGCGCTATATTTGAACTCCCGCCAAAAAGTCGACTGTCAGTTCGACATTACTAGAGTGTTGTCAACCTTCCTTTTTAAGAGGATCGTTTTACAGTCTTTAAAAGTCATATATATTGCGAAGATTTCAAGAAATGTCCGGCGTAGACTAAAACTTTGAATAAGAATAAATTTAGTAAATTTCCTTTATTTTTCTTTCTAATAAAAACTTTGTCCCACATTAGGATTTATCTTTTATCGTTGGTGCGTTTACAAACACATAACTTCACATACACAAACCACCCAGTCCTGAAACAACTTGTGTTGGATCACACAAAGTGTAGTTCCGTGCGGGACTTGAACCCGCGACATGTTGTACAGCAGCTAGGTGCCCAGCTTAAGCCTAATTTAAGTTAAGTTAATACGCTAATGTAAATTTTATTAACATACTTCGGCTAGGGCTGTTAGCCCTAAACCATTCTATAATTCTAAATCCAAGGAGTATATCATAATATAGGGTAAAACACTGGCTGATAAAATATAAATGACATATATTTAAATTTCGTAAGTTGACATGTTGACATCATATTTTATTGGAAAATACATTTTCAGCAACAAAAAGCAATACAAAACGAATTTTCAAAAATCTCACAATGGCTGCAATTGGAATAGATTTAGGAACAACATATTCTTGCGTTGGTGTCTGGCAACATGGGAATGTGGAAATCATAGCGAATGATCAAGGGAACCGCACTACTCCATCTTATGTTGCTTTTACGGACACCGAGCGACTCATAGGAGATGCCGCTAAGAATCAAGTGGCTTTGAATCCAAACAATACAATATTCGATGCGAAACGCCTCATTGGTCGTAAGTTTAATGACCCCAAGATACAACAAGATCTGAGGCATTGGCCATTTAAAGTAGTAAACGATGGTGGAAAACCAAAAATTCAAGTTGAATATAAAGGTAAAACAAAACGTTTCGCCCCAGAAGAAATTAGTAGCATGATTCTCATTAAGATGAAGGATATTGCAGAAGCCTACTTGGGAAAAAATGTCAAGAAGGCTGTTATTACTGTACCCGCTTACTTTAATGATTCCCAAAGACAAGCTACTAAAGATGCTGGAGCAATTGCTGGGCTAAACGTGCTTCGGATCATAAACGAACCAACAGCTGCTGCGTTAGCTTATGGTCTAGATAAAGATCTCAAGGGCGAGCGCAACGTGTTGATATTTGACCTTGGAGGAGGAACTTTTGATGTATCAATCCTGACAATTGATGAAGGTTCTTTATTTGAAGTTAAAGCAACTGCCGGGGACACCCATCTTGGTGGTGAAGATTTTGATAGCAGGCTGGTTAATTTTCTTGCTGATGAATTTAAACGAAAGCATAAGAAGGACTTACGAATGAATCCGAAGTCACTCCGACGTCTTCGAACTGCAGCTGAAAGAGCAAAGCGTACACTATCTTCCAGTAGTGAGGCAAGCATTGAGATCGATGCTCTCTATGAAGGGATCGACTTCTTTTCAAGAGTGTCTAGAGCACGATTTGAAGAATTGAACTCAGATTTGTTTCGCACTACTTTAGAGCCTGTTGAGAAAGCTTTGAACGACGCAAAACTAGATAAGAACTCTATACATGATATTGTGTTGGTAGGAGGATCTACTCGTATACCTAAAATACAGAGCTTGCTACAAAATTTCTTCAATGGAAAGAAGTTGAATTTGTCTATTAACCCTGATGAGGCAGTTGCTTACGGAGCAGCAGTACAAGCGGCTATTTTGAGTGGTGAACGTCATTCTAAAATCCAAGATGTTCTTTTAGTAGATGTGGCGCCTTTGTCTTTAGGTATTGAAACGGCCGGTGGCGTCATGACAGCTATTGTTGAACGAAACGCAAAGATACCTTGCAAGCATTCTCAAACTTTTACCACTTACTCAGACAATCAGTCAGCGGTCACCATTCAAGTTTATGAAGGTGAAAGAGCAATGACAAAAGATAATAATTTATTGGGAACATTCGATCTTACTGGAATTCCCCCAGCACCACGTGGTGTACCTCAAATAGATGTTTCATTTGACATAGACGCTAACGGAATTCTCAACGTTTCTGCGAAAGAAAACAGCACTGGAAAAAGCAAGAACATAGTCATAAAGAATGATAAAGGTCGCTTGTCTCAAGCTGAGATTGATAGAATGTTGTCTGATGCTGAGAAGTATAAGGACGACGATGAGAAACAGAGAGGCCGCGTGCTAGCAAGAAATAAGTTGGAAACTTACGTGTTCAATGTCAAGCAAGCGATTGACGATGCGGGGAGCAAGTTGGGCGAAATGGAATGTGCTAAGATCCGTCGTAAGTGTGATGATACTTTACGCTGGCTGGATAGTAACTCGCTGGCTGAACAGGACGAGTATGAAGCGAAGTACAAGCAAGTTTCTCAGGAGTTCACTCCGATTATGAAGAAAATCCACGGGTCTTCTTCAAAGTCAGGGCAAGGCGGCAGCGACGGACCAGTCATCGAAGAAGTTGACTAGATTTTATGTATTGGTTACTAATAAAGGAGTTTATTGTGATTTTGTATTTTTGTGTCAAGGTGCTAATTAAATTGGTCATTCACATGTAATAAGCAATTCTGCGAATGGGACATTTCAGAAATAATGAGAAGGATTTAACGAGAAGTCTATTAAACATTGTTACAAGCATTGCTACAGTAGCTAGCATGTCAAACGATTTAACGAGCGTTATAGTGTAGGACAGAAAGGCTAAGAACACACGGAGCGATTTTCGCCCGCGTCCGCTGGTTGCGGGCCCGCAGCTTCTGTAGGATTCAAATATTTATATAAAAAATTAAAGCACATTTCACGACGCGTTTTAAGCCCGCGGTGTACGCGGTTGTATGCGGCTCCCGCTGTACCGGCGGGCAACTAGTAGAATCGCGCGGGCCGCGGTTACCCGCAGCCTCGGCGGGTGGCACCCGCGCGCTTTGCTATCGGTTGGCGAGCAACCGCGGGGGCCGGCGGGTCTTCTGTGAAGTAAATATAAGGCTGCGTTTCCACCAGAGATGTGCGATGGAAATGTGTCGTGCGAGGATGTCTAGCTGTGCTGTGAAAATGTGTGGGTGTTTCCACCAAAGCTGTGCGATGAAAATGTGTCTACGAGGATGTGTAGCGGAGCTGTGAAAATGCGCATTATGTGTGGTGCGAGGATGCGTTGCGAAGCTGTGAAATGTATCGACGGGGGTGCGGTGTAGTGGGAGCGGAGTAACGCGAACGCCTGCCTGCCGCTCACGTCTCACTCTCACTTTGCTGTCGTTAGCGCTTGTAGTCGTACGGTTGCGTGGCATAATGGACGAAAAATTAATTGATGCCGTTAAAAAGTTTCCGTGTTTGTGGAACACTTCTTTATCATTTTACAAATGTAATGAAACTAAGGACGCTGCGTGGGAGGAAATAGTCAAAGAAATAAAATATAAAGATGGTAAGTAATAATCATGTATTAAAATCAGGTATATTAAAATACAAGTTACAATATTTGGGTATTTATTGTGTGCGATGAATTCGTGACGAAATACGAGTATCCTGCCATGACACTTTTCCTTGATTATTGAAATAAGAGCAGTATTTCTCTCTTACTTCATAACCATCACTTGACTCGACGACGGAAATGCTAGGAACGGATACAAGAGTACCTGCATTTGTTTTATCAATGGAATCCAAATAATTAGTTTGTCTTTCAATTAAAAAATTGTGCATTACACATGTGGCTTTTACGATTTTGTCAACCGTTTCCACTCTGCATTCAAAGTCTTTACGATACACATACCACTTTCGTGCCAATACACCGAATGTAGCTTCCACAATGCGACGTGCCCTCGAAAGTCTATAGTTAAATATACGTTTCTGTTGGTCTAACTGGTCCCGCGGATACGGGCGCATGAAATTTTCCATCAAAGGAAAAGCCTCATCTCCAATGAATACAAATGGTACTGGTTCACCTCCTTCATATAATGGTTCAGGTTCAGGAAGATTCAATCTTTTTTCTTTCAAATATTTTCCAAAAACACTATCATCAAATATTCCAGCATCACTAAATCTTCCCATGGATCCCACATCAACCATTATAATCTTTCTCCTAGCGTCTGCTAAGCACATAAGCACTATAGAAAATCTTTGTTTGTAATTAAAAAAAGAGGACCCAGTGTTTGCAGGACACATTATATAAACATGTTTACCGTCTAGAGCCCCTAAACAATTTTTAAACTGCCATAGCTCTTGAAAATCCTTTGCTATTCGCTTCCAGTCGTCTTTGGTAGGTTTTGGAATAACAAGAGGTTGTAAAACGAGCCAAAGAGCATTACAAACTTCTACCACAATTCTCGACACACTTGCTACTCCAATCCTGAAATTTTCTGCCAATCTTGTGAACGATGAGCCCGTGGATAAATACCTGCAAAAAAGGATTGTTTATAATAATAATAAAATAATTAATTAACAAATAAAAAAGTACTCTTTACCTGTTACTGATTTTTTACGATCTGTAAGACAAAATGCTTGGTATAAAAATGTTATATTCCTAATCATAATTTTCTATTATTTCAGTGAAAAGCGCAAAGTATCGTTGGAAACAACTACGGGATAGCCATCGGGACGCGCTAAAGAGGCAGAAATCTAAAAAAAGCGGACAGGCTACAACCAAAACACGTGAATGGAAATACCAAAAATTGATGGAATTTCTTTTACCGTACATGGCCAACAGAGATAGAGAGTCAAGTTATAAAGAGGATATTTCGTCACCAAATAATAAAGATGACTCTTCGCAAAGCTCTCAATATTCATTAAACCAAGATGACTCTTCGCAGAGCACTGAACATACACCAAATCAAGTTGACAATCCCGACAATCTTTACGAAATAGCCTCAACTTCAGGCATTTCAACAGATTCGGTCACCGCGTCATCATCAAAGAAGAAAAAAGGCGATGAATTATCAATTTTAATACAAAAACATATGAAAAATCAAGAAGATTTTCGAAAAGAAAGGCAAGAATTAAAAGAACTTTTAAAACCAACGGACTGCGATGATATTGATCATTTTTTTCTTTCAATGGCGAAAACATTTAAAAAATTACCAGATTACATGCAAGTTCCTTTAAAAAGGAAACTTTTTAATATGATTAGCGAAGCCGAAGAATCTTACATGCTGTCGAGGTATAATCAAAATATTGGTTATTTTTCAAGCTCTGGTACCAACGCAAGTAATATAGCAGGCCAGATGGATTTGCCGCCTCAGCTGGATCCTGAACAACTTGGTTATTCTTCAAGCTCTGGTAGGAATACAAATAAAACAGCGGGCCAGATGGATTTGTCTTTCCAACTGGAAGCCGTACAACCAGCATCTCCGGGGACTAGGAATACAAATAAAATAGCGGGCCAGATGGATTCGTCTTTCCAACTGGAAGCTGTACAACCAGCATCTCCGGGGACTAGGAATACAAATAAAATAGCGGGCCAGATGGATTCGTCTTTCCAACTGGAAGCTGTACAACCAGCATCTCCGGGGACTAGGAATACAAATAAAATAGCGGGCCAGATGGATTCGTCTTTCCAACTGGAAGCTGTACAACCAGCATCTCCGGGGACTAGGAATACAAATAAAATAGCGGGCCAGATGGATTCGTCTTTCCAACTGGAAGCTGTACAACCAGCATCTCCGGGGACTAGGAATACAGAGCCTAATTTACCATGAAGAAGAGGAACTTGTCTACTTATTTTGCAGATTATGTTGTACTATTCAATTAATATGTTTAATAAAGACAAAATTGATTCAAACTATTTTACTTACTTTAAACATACCGCCAATTTTTCCTTGGTGCTGATGCATTCTCTGTAGTGAGTGTCTTCCTTCTTGATAATGTTCTCAATCAAATTGTGTAACTCATAAAAGTTACTTCTAGATACTCGATAAGAATTTTCGAATATTTCATCATCAGCCGTATAAAAAAAGGTAAAGAATTCTCCATGTAATCGATGATATTTAATATGGTTACGTATCCAAAACCTGTGTGTTCTTCTATTGTTCAAAATTATAGAACTAATAAACTCCGTATCTTCTGCTTCCATTTCTTCATCGCAAATTGTTAAATATAAAAGTATCTTCTTTTTCCAATTATCCATATCTATTTCACGCACTTCTACTTCCAACAAACTCCGTCTATGGACTGGCTGGTACAGTATGCGCAAACCTCGCAACACATCCTTCTCAACACATCCCTCGCACACATCCCTCGTACACATCCCTCGCACACATTCCTCGCTTGTTTTGTATGCGCAAAAATCTAGCTCCGCTGAGCCGTTTCCACCAGAGCTGTGCTGACCGAGGCGAGGTAAATGAAGCGATTCTATTGGTTCTTTACAAACACATCCCTCGCTACGCATCCTCGCACATCTCTGGTGGAAACGCAGCCTAACGCAACAGCTCGTTTCTGGTGTGTGTCCATGGCGGTCTGGACCTCAACTGATCGTTAACCGCCCGTCTTGCAATCTTGCGATCATCGTCCGCCACGTTTGCGGGCGATGATCGCAACCGCGGCGGCTGTGTAACCGCGCCAATTACCGGTCTCGTGAGTTTGGAAATAAAACCGCAGTTCCGCTACCGCGGCGGGCACGGTTCAAAATCGCTCCGTGAGTTCTTAGCCTAATGCTTCGTTTAAGTTTGATATCTTCGGGAAGAATGTTTATAACGATGATCGACTAAAGCGTAGCAGGAGTGTTCTTAAAAATAGTTTGTTTTTTAAATGCTTAATTAATATTCTGTAAATAAACTTTTTAAACTTAAGTCTCTAACACCTTGTACATACCTACCACTTAATATATTTTTAGGGAATCAAAGGCATTGTGTTATAATTTATTTAACGACTGTTTTTTATTCAGAGGGTAAAAATTTGAAGCGAGGAATGACAAATTCTCGGGATTTTCGTAAGTTCAGACGGAGTGTGCCAGTTGTGACTGATACTTGGCATAAAGCTCTCTCGAAATTATTTAGATTTTTCGGATTGGGTATTCGGAACTATAGGTAAATAACTTGTAATTGTAACATTCCATTTTTGAACCTCTGCCGACCCATTTTTTCTTACAATGAAGTAATACAATACGGTAGTTTCCAACTTTCCAACTATATAGTCAAATCCAATACTTTTATCCAAATGTCAAAAACGATACTTTTCTATGAAGATGAAAAACTGAGTTATGACGTCATAGTATTTTTGCGTCAAATAGCTTACTTTTGTTTTTTATTTATTTATTTACATCACTAACAACCATCATTACAGATAAAATCCAATTCGATAGTGTAGCCATCAGTATTACAAAGTTGTAGTTAATAATTACCTACAAAATATCCTCAAACTCAGTGTATCGATCGATCGATGAATAAAAGTACTTAGTTATTTTTCAATATTTTATTGCATTGAAACGTCGAATTAATTTATTTTTGACATAGGAAACTTCCCAATTAGTAGGTATCCTCTGCACAAATTGG